TGATGGCAATAAATTAAGAATGAACAAGTTCAGTCCATAAGAGTTTGGATTTGTCACGAACATTATCTTATGATTATGGTTATGACAAATTCACATGGATAGGAACACATACACCATATAATCTAAGTGTCATAAGGTTTCTCTCCTTCATGAAAATGATTGTGAGGAAACGCTTTCACTAGGAAGATTCTAAGGAGATAGAGATTGTGTAAATTACATTCTCAAATTCAATTATGATTATGGCATCCCTCTTCATATTTCGAATTGTGAGATTTGGCAATTAGTTTAAACATTTAAGACTTATTGCTATAAGTGTTGAAATTGTTTAGACACACATATGAGTTATCTAAGGGAAGGTGAATGAGTTTTGAGAAGCTTAGATAAAGGCTTATCGAAGCATATCGTCTTAGAAATATGAACTTTGGAAGTTAGTAAGTATTGCTTTTTAGAAGTCCAACTGTTTTCTGAATACGTGTCAAAGCTAGTGGGAGCATAAATGTTATGCTGGTATGGATATAACCATCATGTTAGTGGGAACATGATTATTATTTTAAGTGTTGGAAGATAGAAACATTAATTATAGAAAACAAAAGGTTTTAGTTTGCAAAGTTGTAGGGGTTGAAAAATTGTTTTTCTATAATTAAGGGAGAGAATATTATACTTTGTTTCAAAATCTAAAAGCTTGGATCAAGAAATTTTAATCAAATTTAGTCAAAGGACATATATGGATGTTATGTTGAAAAGATTCAACATAAATGAATTCTATATATGGCAATATTATAGCAAAAACTGGTAAAGTATCACTTTTTTCATTATGAATTGTGTCCCATACGCTTTGGGTATAGGATCGATTGCATATGCTGTAATATTCGAACATTCTAAATTTTCCAAATGCCTAGGGAATTAAGAGGGAAAAAGGACTAGAACCGAATTTGACTAAAATAATTAAACAACTATCAAGGACGATCTAAGGTTCGCCAAGCATGGTCACTTGTCGGCAGTTGGAAGTATAGTAACGAATGGACCATATTGACTTTATTATGCATAGATAAGACTCTATTTAGAATGAGTTGTCATATGGAAAATATGGAAATGTTTCCATATTGGGAGTTGGACGTTAAGAATCTATGTCTAGATAAGAAACTTTTATGAAAGAAGGATGTTCAAAGGAATGTACTTTGAATGTGAGACTTCATATCTATGGAATTGCCTTGTAACAATCTCCAATAGAGCACTTTGTAATATTATTGGAAAAGTCTTTGTGATTTTGGTATTGTGACATTACGAAGGGATCGTTGCATAAAATGTAAGAATCTAACATATTCTAGTAGTGGCGAGACTCTTGTATTCTTACACTAATGATAAGGATTAGGAATTGTGAGATGAGTATCATTGGAAATGTGTTCAATTGATCTATTTCACAAAGTAAGTACCATAGGTAAACATAGTGTGCATGCTTGGAGCATGGGACAAATGTTGTTATAATTCAAGTAATAAGTTGATTATCCGAAACATTATACAATGAATAATGTGTAATCAATATGGTGACTAAATAAAAGGAGTTTTATTTATACTCAAAAGTTTGGGTCCATATTGGATTCGATTATTATTGTGTTTCACTTTGCATGTTTTGACTTCCAGAATAACTAGGTTATTCAAACCATCCAAAATCGATCATATTTTGGAAGTAGATATGAAAGAAGACTTTCATGAATCCGTCTGTAGATTGTTTAAAGTGTTTAGACATAGCACAAGTTTGCTGCAGAGTTCATGAGTGCTCCCATAAGGTTAGAGTATTGGATTAAACTCACGCTCACTTGAATCGCTTCATGGATTTTATCACGAGTGATTAGTGAGACGATAATATCTTATATTCTTGAAACCGAGACGTGTCAGTTGTATTCTGTAAGTCGGTTGCACATTGATAATATGAAAACGCACCAGTAACTTGGTGTTATAAAACATATTGTTGTGTGTGATTTGATGAGTAGGTACAAGCAAACATTTGGGTTGAAGTTTATCCGTTCCTTTTACCCAAAGTGGGATAAAAGCGATATATATGAGCCCCTCGATGATTTAGTGATGATACCCTAAGCGCTTGGCCAAGTTGTGACTTAGTTGATGTGTTCAATTGTAGTATGTTGTCAGTATTCATAAATCGGAAATCGGGAAACAACACATGCACAGAGATTATGATTAAAATCCATGTCTCAGTTCATACAATATCTATAATGGAGGAATATATGATCCCTTATCTAAAGGATATGTTACTGATAAGATTAGAGTTGACAGCGGCTTTTAAAAGTTACGATTGCTGATCAGGTTCTGAAGCCATATGCAAACTAGTTATTAGACTTATCTAAGTGGGAGACTGTTGGATTAGGTGTCTAAGCCCATAACTAGTTTGGCATGTACTTGACCTGATTATGAGCATGGTCCTTTTGGGTTACCTTCACCAAAGCAACTGATAAGATGAACTAAGGAGAAAGAGGATTGATTATGATTTACTAATAAGAATAATATTAAAGAAGAAATCATATTGTTTAATTAATATTAGTCAAGAATTAATTAAGAATTAGTTTTGTGACTAAAAGAGATTAATTAAATAAAGGGGACTAATATTCCAAATTATATGATAGTTGCATAAATGGGCTAATGGACTCCATAGAGGTTGGAGTGGACAAAATCTATGGGGAAACCAATAAGAATTCGTCCAAGGCCTCTAATGAGGGAGTCCATGGGCTGCTTGATGCTTATGCAGTCAAATTAGGGTTTCCTTGTTTGATAAACTTAATAGCCTAACTATATAAGAAACCCCTAAGGCCCCAAAAACGTGGTGAAGTGATCCCTAAGAGTTCTTGGACGTTTTGTGCCTTCTCTTACTTCTCTTTGTTCATCTTGTTGCTCATGGTGTTTGTGATTCCAAAGCTTTAGGGTTTGCATGAACACCATAGGATTGATGAAGTGTACAAAACCCATCAACGTCGTGAATCCCCTTGGGCACGTAGTGGAAATGCAAGGTCATAACAACCAATATGCAGGACATTAACACGTCGTGGACCCTACTTATCCATGTCATGGAAATGCCAAGACAAAACAGTCGTGATTTTGAGCATCGCCACGTCGTGGCAAACCCTAGGCCACACCTTGGCTACTGGCAGAATGCCAAAATCTCCATTAAGTGCTTAATTTCATCAGACCAAAGCCTAAAACATTAGATCTAGTTGTTTTTACTGACTTAATGGATAAATTTTCAAACTTTATCCATTAGGACTCCATGCCAAATCAAGATCCATAACTCTAAGTTCTTGATAGAATAAAACCTTTTGTAAAATATGCATAGCTTCAAAAACAAGATCAAGATGCAAACTTTCCCAGTCCAACAAGATTAGTAGATGATAAAATAAGCTCAAGAGGTGTTGGAGTTCTGCCCAAGCTTACAAGGATCAAAAAGGGACATAAATGATCAAACTACAATAGCTAGCAAACTAGAGGTCAAGATGGATGTTGTTTACTCACAATGGTACATAAATGAAGTCCATTTGCTAGATCTACACGTCAGCTCTTAACCAAAACACTTTGCAAGAAACTTGGTCTTCAAGCTCCACACCAAAATATGAGAAAATGGTCTTCAAATGGCCAAGAAACACCAAGAACACATAAAGAGGGCTAAGGTTTTCAAAATGGAGAGGTTAGAGGCTGAAAAGGATGCCCTAACCTGGAGTTAAGGTGCTTAAACATATAAGAAACCCTAAAAATCCATGGTCAACGTTCGCCACATTGTGGCCATTCTATTGCTAAGTCGTGGTGCCTACCCAAAATACACATTCTCCATCTTGTATGCAACGTCGTGGCACTCTATATGCCATGTTGTGGCATATGGTTTTCCTCAAAAACCATGCATTTGACTCCCTTATACTATCCACTAATCTATTATGGGAAAACAGTGTTACAACAAACCTTAGGAGAGGGGAGGAAAAATCAACATTTTCAGTAACCCTAGAAGGGTTGTGAATTTAGTCGATTGAGAGGAAATGGAAGAGGGAGCCAAAATTTCAAAGGAGAGAAAGTACATCTTGGGTTTTATCCCTAGCTCCCCATGTTGTAGTTGCTTAATCATATAACAATTCAAATAGCCTGATAAGGGTTATCCTTAAAATCATCCCTTATTATTAAGGGTTCTGGAATGTTCCAATTAATTAAACTTGTAATTAATTAACATTCAACCCATTTAATTAATTAATTCCAAAATATTTTCTAATTAATTTATCATATCTTGAAAAATTAATAAACTAGTTTCTCCTAAATTATGTTTCCTTTTAATTTCTCAAATGACTCTTAAGGAAAACCCAAAAGGATCCTATTATTACTAAAAATATTAAAAATAGTTATGATTTGGATACTCTTGACAACATTTTCTTCCACTTTATTCATAATGTAGATGTAAACAAAAAAGTAAGCCTGATATATTGCAACAAAAACCAACAAGAGTAGCTAACTTGTTTCTAATTCCCCAAGCAAAACATCATTTTTGTAGGTTTCAAGTGAGAGTAAGTGTTTTTAATGTCGGGGATTTTAAGAAATGTTTCAAAACTCAATTGCAACTAATTGGTCTTATTAGTGAGTTTGTTTTTTTGGTAGTATGGAAAATGAAGGGGTTTACCTCTTGGTAATTTTTATTTTTTCATTATAAATGGATTGGTTTACCTTTTCATAATTAACATATAGGTTATGGTTGTATCGCCTATATTTCTGTCCTGTTTTGGCTCTCGTATAAGAATACGAGGAAGTGAAACATGCACTTATTGATGATACTTTATTTGTATTATCGTTATTTCGGAATACTATATTGTTTATTTGTCTGGTTCAAGTTATTAAATATCACATAGCATACATTTTATATTCTTGTACAACTTAAGTTTATCTACATGAAAAAAAACATTATTATGTGTCAATTATGTGCACATATGAAGATCAATGAGTAATATAAGCACGAAAATCAGGAGAATAAACAACATAAAGAGTGTAAAGATTTACGGTTTTATTAATGATTTCACATGTTGGTCAAACCTTACTATCTTATTTATATTAATCCGAAAAAACTTAAACACTTTGCACTAGCTTAAGGGTTACAGAAGTAAGGCATTGATTGCTATGTTATGACTTTCTTTTGGTAGAAGTTATAATTGTTGCCTCATTCTTCATCACCATTTGTCTCCAATTTCATCTTTCTAGCATCAACCTTCATTTTATTATGATTGTGTGCTTTCTTGAACAACTCGATAAAATTCACTAGAGAAGTTATAACTGTAAAAACAAACGGAAAGAATCATGATAGATCCTTCTACAAAATAAGAAAGAACAATTTAACCACATATTATCTAATTACTTGAACAATAACAAAAAAAACCAGCTCGACTATTCTTAGTTGGAGAATAGATATGTTGTTATCTTTTCTTTTTATAAATTTAGATTCTTGCGATACACTATTATTATAATCTAGTTTGTTTCTTTACAGAGCTTGGAAAAAAGAAGTATTCGTGGTGACAATGAAACATGCAAGAGAGGGTGATTAGAGATTTTATATATATATATATATATATATATATATATATATATATATATATATATATATATATATATATATATATATATATATATATATATATATATATATATGTTCATTTGAGACGAAACTAATTTTGTAACACCTAGGGATGAGTTTTTCTCTACTAAATTGTTCTCATATTATATTGTTCATAAAAGTATAACTTATATATTATTGTAACATTATATGTTTTATGAATACATTAGTGTAAAATGTATTAACAATATTATTTTATAATATTATAATATTTCATATATTATATTTTTTGGAAACATAGAAAATCAAAATATTTCAATACAAAAAATATAGTCTCATAGTCTCACAAACACAAATGTATATATATATATATATATATATATATATATATATATATATATATATATATATATATATATATATATATATGAGTAAATTATTCAAAGCATCCCTGTGGTTTATTCAAAATTGTACATTTGGTCCCTAATTTTTTTTTTTTTTTGCACTCGGATCGTCCATGTGATATAATTTTGTTGCGTTTTTCGTCCCTTACATACATAAAGTTAGGGACCAAACGTGCAATTTTGAGCAAACCATAGAGACGAAAAACGCAACAAAATCAAACCACATGGACGATCCGAGTGAAAAAACAAGTTAGGGACCAAACATGCAATTTTGACAAACCATAGAGATGATTTCGGTAATTTACTCTCTCTCTCTCTCTCTATGTGTGTGTGTGTGTGTATTTATATATATGTGTGCAAATTATTGAAATCATCCTTATGGTTTATTCAAAATTGCACATTTGGTCTCTAATTTTTTTTTTGCACTTGGATCGTTCCTGTGATTTGATTTTTGTTGCGTTTTTCGTCCCTTACACACATAAAGTTAGGGACCAAACGTGAAATTTTGACCAAATCATAGAGACGGAAAACGCAACAAAATCAAACCACATGGACGATCCAAGTGCAAAAACAAGTTAAGGACCAAACATGCAATTTTGACCAAACCATAGAGATGATTTCGGTAATTTACTCTCTCTCTCTCTCTCTTTATATATATATATATATATATATATATATATATAATATATATATATATATATATATATATATATATATATATATATATATATATATATATATATATATATATAGGAAAGCAAACATCTTATTGTTAAGTATATAAGTTTTGGTATTAAAGCTATTAATCTACGTCGTTTTGTATGATAATTGATTAGCCTTATCAAAATCATGTATCTTAAAATATCACATCAACTATAAATTCTTTAGTTTTTTTTTCCATCCTTTCTAACATTTCTTTCTTTATTTTTTTAACTAGTTGTGAGACCCATGTATTATATGAGTTAATTTAAAAAAAATTAAATATAAAAGTTAAAATATTTGAGAACTTTGAATTTATAAGGAAATAAAAAAAAATATTACAATTGAAATGTTTTTTATCTTTTAAATTTAAACAAATAATTAAAAAAAAACTAATGAGCCTCAATTTAAATTTTTTGAAATGAAAACGTAAGTTTATTAATGAAATTGATATCCATTTATTACCATATTTATTTAATTATTATATTTAAAATATTATGTGAAATTTAATAAAATAGAAAAAGTAATAAAATAACATATAGAAAAAAAATAATTCAAAATAGCCACAAAATGACATTTGGCAAATTAAATGTAAGTTTCTAAAAAGCTCGTCATGGCTCCGCCATGGCTCACCACGACTCCAAGGCATGTAGTTGCTGCTGAGCTTTGACAAATTGTCGCCTTAAGTCATATATGTATATAAAAATGAATAATAGTAGAAGATTTATATAAAATTATTAATTATATATAAATTTGCCGACTTATGGCACGCCTTCCAAACGACGTGACTCGCCATATAATTCGAAAAAGTTTGAGGCTTGACATTGCCGCCAAGTCACGCCTTACGTTATTTAGAATATTGTTTAAATGAGAGTTTGACATGTAGCAAAAAACATTCATTTATTAGAATAGATAAGATCACTCATTCTCTCTTCCAAGTGTGCTCGTTTTAAAAATCAAGGAGTAAATTTTTGGCATGATCGATTAAATTAGAGAACTTTTAGTACGAGATGTTTTAGGATACATGGAATTTGATTTTAATACAAAACCACGTAGCTTATTGATTTTAATAACTATATCTATATACTTAACAACATTATATTTGCATTTCCATATTAATGGTATATGTGTTGGATGATCTAATTTTTCTTCTAACATAATAACATCACTCTTGTGACACTGCTGTCAACACAAAATTAAGAGGCCAGGCAGGTATATATAGGGTCTATTAGATAGACTTTGATTGGCGTGATTAGTTTTAGTCAATATAAATGCGAAAGGAACTCCAACAAAATCCCTCTACACTTGAATCACTAGTCTTATAAACCATTTTTCTGACTAAAACTGATAACGGCGACAATATTCTATCCAACTTGCCCTACATATACATACCCTTTTACTTTTCTGTTAATAGCAGTGTCACAAGACTTCTCTTATTATGTTGTGATACAAATTATATCATGGTACACATATACCATTAATAGCTAATAAAACCTTTCTTTATACTTTGAGAATCACGATAGTGCCATTAAAAACTACAACAAACCTTGTCTCCATGAATAATAATCTGGATCCTCTCCAAAATATATGACAAGTGACTCTATGTCCAGATACTGCAAGACATGTATTCTTGTTACAAAGTAAATTAATACTTTTCTTGTTCATTTCTAAATGATGTTAGAGTGAACATATATAATAATTAAAGGACTTGATTAAAAGACTTACCACTTCATCAAACAGGGAGATCAAAGATGGGAGTTTTGCATCAGCACTATCAAGAAATGGCCTCAAGGCCTGGAGAGTAGATGTAGAATTAGTGTACTTTTTTGAAAGAAAATATAGCCAATATTGAAAATAGTCATTACTAATTGTATGAATTATTATCTTTCTCATGTGGACACAATATGTATGGCCTTAAACCCAACATATGGAATATGTAACACTTTATCCACACATACATCCTTAATCATACGGGGGACGTATATAATTTGGGAAAAGGAAACAAACAAAAGGTTACATATAAAGGAGCTCCTAAATCTACACTGCTTAAAATATTTAGATTTAGGATACTACTACATATGTGAAATTTCCATTGACCCTGATAAATTACAGAAATCACACATCGTAAGAGGTTGAAAGTGTTGTTGGTCACTCACTAAAGGATCCAAATTCAGTACTCTTGATTATGGAATCCTTCAAAGCCTGGTACGAAGCTAAATAGTCTTTCCAGTTATGAGATACATAAATGGGTTTAAAATGTTGTCAACTCAATGATTAAACCACATTAATCTAAGTCATTAATTGTTATCTTGATTGTTTAGTGTTCAATTCAATAAAATATTTGGCCATCCTCATTCACAATTTCCAACCCATTATACTAAAGATACATGAAAATTAAACAAACATATATTTAATTACCTTTCGAAATTTAGCAGATACGCTCCCATCACTGACTGAAGAACTGAATTCCTGCTTAACCTTCTGAAAACTATTGATTATTGCAGACTTCTCGTCATACAAATCTTTAATTTGTATCTAATGGTTTGATGTGATTACCCAAATGGAAAAAAGATTACATGTCAGCCTTAGGCGTCCACATTGCTAGGAAGAAACTCAACTAATTTTAAGGTATTAGACATACCCAATATGCATCTTGCAAGTGAGTCATATCATTGTAAAAATACAACAACTCAGGCGTTTGCTCGGCAATAACCTGTAAATATGGAATAGCAGTATGTATGCACCCAAAGTCATAACATTATAAAAATGACATTCCATGATACTGAAAACATTGTTAATTTTGTTTGTAAATGGTCTTCTTTTGCATTCGCTCATTCTTAATTTTCCTGAAATTTGTTTATGTTTTGTGTTGTAAAGTATTTTATTTTGTGAATATGTGTCTCCAAACCCACTCCTACTTTTAAATCAACACAACATTAAGGGACAAAAATGCACATTGTTTTATGTCTAAGTTGCCGATGTAATTGGATAAATCTTGACCTTATTGCCGCTATTGAAACTTAACAATGGGATATTGGGATCCCGCTCCCGAAAGAGCATATGTGGAAAAAAAGGAGTCACCCCTTGCACCTAAGCAGTCCTTGGTCATGTTTTTTTTTTTTTATTATTAATATTATTAAAACATCTTATTGTACTTTTGTAAAGCATTATGACAACTACGAATCTAATAAAATTTCTATAGTCTGCATGTGGATAAAAAATGATTACTCTGAACAGTAGTGTTAAATCCTTGTGTTCTTAATTTCTCTTATGTGTTTGTATGTTTGTCACATTATCAGCAAAACTAGGATAGATTTGTTGGTTTATCTATATCTATATTTATCCTTGGAGAGATAAAATCCTAGCAATTTAAATACATAGTCAGAGCTCATGTACTTATAAGATGTGAAAATCTGAGGATGCGTTTGGTTGCGGAAAAATGAACCGTTTTCCAGAAAAATTTTCAAAGAAAAATGAGAATTTTGAAAACGCGTTTAATTTGTCTATTTTTCTCAATTTTTCACGGGAAATGAAAATTTTCCGTTTTTTAAAATTACAAAAAAGTTAGAAATTTTTGGAAAACCAATAATTATTGTTTTCCATATTTTTCTAATTCCAAAATTTTTCTAAAATATGAACACGCACTCTACCCCCACCTTACCACCCCCCAACCCACCACACCCCTACCTACCCACACCTACCCCAACCCCTACCCAATCCCCCCCCCCTCACACACACACAACCACAAACACACAAACATACACAAAAAATCAAACACACAGCCACACCCACCCCTACCCATACGAACACACACACACACATACACACAAACACACAACCATACACACCCCCACCACCACCCCTACAAACACACACACACACACGCATACACACACACACACCCCTAAACAGACACCCAACCCAACCCCCACCCACATCCACACCCCACCAACACACACCCCTACCCCAACCCCCACTCACAAACACATACACACCCATACCCACCTTCATCCCCACAAACACACACACACACCTACAAATACACACCTACCCCAACCCCCACTCACATCCACACCCACAAACACACACCCACACCCACACCCACCTCCACCCCTATATACACACACACACAAACACAGAAGTACACACACCCACCCAACAAACACCAGTATAACAATCACCGACCTACCATCACCACCACCACTACCCCATCACCAGCATCACCACCCCCGCCACCACCACTGTCGCTGCCACGACCACCACCATCGTCGCCATCATCAACACTACCATTCCCCCCCCCCCTCTGCCCCCACGCCCACCCTACTGGCTACCGTTTTCTAAAAATGAAAACTGATAGAAATATATACATCTAAACGCGTTTTCTAATTCTCTAAAATTGAAAATCAAAATGAATAAGTTTTAACTAAACGTGTTTTCAAAATTTTCCAATGAAAACCGAAAACGAAAAATGAAAACTGAAAAGGGAAAACGAAAGACGGAAAATAAAAACTGTTTACCTTAAACACCCCATTGATAGAGTGAATTTGTTCTCGGCGTCGCTCTGACTTTTCTAAAATGGGTTTTCCACCTAAAATTTCTGGTGTCTCTCTTCATTTTATATTATAATGCATGTCAATTTATAATCATTATTGGGTGCAAACTCGAATTCTAAATTACTATCGTTTGTTCCATGTGTATAAATATTCTCAAGGAAATTGATGATGTTCTTTGGTTGACTTTTTCCACAATTAGCATCAGATCTTGCGGGTTTGTTATTAATTTATTTAGAATTGTTGATATGCTTGATTAGTTATGTATTACTAAAGCACAATATTTCTTTGTTAGATAGGAATGCTAGATTTCCGATATGGCTTGTGTAGTTGATGGATTTGTTAATCCAAATTGATTTTACACAAGGCACTTCTAGAGTCGGAAAGGATACTTGTATGTGGAAAAAGAGGGGAAGGACCTAAACGTTTCATAACAAATTTGTATTAATAATAAGTTTTGCGTATTAAATTTGTTATTATTTGTTTCTTAATTAAATGTTGCAGTAACGTTCATTAATGTGTTACATGGGCTTACAGTTTAGTGGGCTGAAGCAGCTGGAATGTAGGCTATGTGAAGCTAAAAACATATATGGGCTGGAACTTGTATATAAAAACTCTTTAATCCATCAGATGTCATGTTACCAAGCTGTTCTTCATCTTCATTCTCTGAAGCGTATATTTCAGGGTTTTCTTCAAGCTCTTTAGTTAAAAGTTGTGTTGAGAAAATACTCTCCCAGATCATACATAGTGATCTGGTTGCTTTCGATTACTGATTTATTTCTCTGTTTGATCAATTTAATTTTGTTAATAGGTTGTTGATTGTATCTGTTTAATCTCTAAAACTAACTATAAAACTCTTTGTATCATTCAGCTTGTGTTTAGATTTCTTACTGAAATTTGTTTTGAAGTCTTAATATGTTCAATATTCATACAGTTAACATTGCTAGAAAATACATTATGAACCCGTGGAAAGGTCATCATAAGGTTGTATGGGAGATCAATCGTGGATCGAGTATGTGTTCAGTTTAGGCGGTGGAACCATTAGAGGAGTTTAGATGGTGGTGCCAATAGTTACGGTCTACAGTTGACTATATGGCTGTAACAAAAGAACTTAAGGTGGACTACGTTTAAGTTAAGTATACTTCTAACTAAAGCATTTATGGAGGCAATTTGGTTTAAGAGATATGGGTTTTTATCTGGAAGGATATCAAGATTACCAGTTATCTCATGTTCAAACTAGGACAGACTTATTGGTAAACAACACGGCCATATAGTGGCTTTGTTTTAGTTGTATTTTCTAGGTTGGGTGTTCCATGTAAAAGTTCTATTGTGTCTTGCTTCTTACTGTATTCTTATACATTGTTTTAGCATAGTGAATTTCTGTTTAATTCTATTCGGCTTGAATCAGTACCATTGGCTTGGCATGTATACTAGTTATTAGGAAATAGATTTTCTCTTGTTTGGCTATCTTGTGGTCCAGTGTGATCGATTTTGTCACAAACTTGATTTCCAGATCTATTGAAAGATTGTTTGGGCAACCAGAGGTTACTTTATTTCAAAGGATTTATGTGCGGATGCTTGGTTAAGTGGATATTACTTATAGCTATCTTTTTAGTAATTAAGTGATATATGATCAAAATTAAGAGTCAAGGCTGTACCTTGCATAAGAAATGCAATAATGTGATGTTCTTGTCTCTTGCCCATGTATAACCCAATCTCTCAAGGCTGCCTAATTTGAATCCTTCGGCAGATCCTGCAACATAGATGATATATGTCATTGTATGAAACAAGGATTGGAAATATAACCTCCGATATATAAAGATATTTAAGATATGGCTTTGTGTTGTACCTTGAGCTATGCCTGCATTTAATTTGTTCCCTAACATGAGAATTATTTGCATTATCTTAGCCAGCTTTGTTGATTCCTTGATCTAAATTTTGCAGATGAAGTTAAGACTAAACAAACTGGTGCAAGTATAAATATGTTCGTAATATGAAGGGTGCATGAGGGTAGCCTAAATAAAGCTAACATGATACTTCCTCATTTAAGAGGGTATGAGCTCTAGTGAATTAAATATTAAATACCTAAATGAAACTCACCTCTTTATTAACATCTTTGATAATATTTAGGGTGTCTCTAAAATTGTTAACCTGCGATTTTTTTGAACGAAAAGACATAAACAAGCTAAGCCAGACATAAATCTTTTGTCAAATAGCAAAAGGATTAATTTTGTGAGAATATTCACCCTGCGGCTAAAAGTAATTGCAAATGCAAATACTTGTAGTTTTGAATTCATCCTTGGGATCTTTGCACACTCCAAGAAGAACTAAAAGGACAACTAAATGTGTTATCTAAGGTGCGATTATATATATCTTTCTGCAATGAAACTTCCAATCTATGATTAAAAATACCTGTTCACACTCTCCAAGTATTTCCTTGTCTCCCGCATAGTTCTGAGATGTAGAAATATGATTGCAGATTACGAATAACTCTAGCCACTATTGTTAGGATTAAGGATCGAAAAAATAACATGCATGATAAAGATGCAAAGAAAAATAAACAACATAAGGAGGTTCATGCAATCAAAGTATGGTCAATTAGGCTAGAGGGAGTGGCCTCGCCACCCCTCTCGCCAAAAGAGTCGCCAAGCAATGTTAAACCATTCTCTTAAGACTTGCTAGAGTCGCTAGCTATAAGTCGTTATGGACTCAACGAGAAGAGAGAGAAAGATTATTGAGTTGTTATTGGCTGTTTACCTTTTGACTACAAAACTATTGGTTGTTTGTTTTTTCTGTTCTTTTTTTCTTTTTCAAAATAAAACCTATTTAAAATCAAACACTAACACTCCCTACATTTTTGTGCTATACATGGCAAGCCAATGTGTCATAAAAAGAACTAAAAATCCTATGTGACAATGTGCTAGGAGTGTTACCACTCCCTCTAGCCTTAAAGATATGCCCAATAATAACTACTCAAGAAAGTGGTATATGTGCATTTTGAAAAGAAAAAAAAGGTAAAATCACAAAGACTAAAAAAAGTAACTATTTTTGTTTACATTATGCCATAAAAAACTAAATCTGAAATGTGCATTGAAGAGGATTGGTCCTGAAGATTTAAATATTTTCAACTGCTCGCTCAGGACAAGTCAGAAAAAAGTGTATATATATATATATATATATATATATATATATATATATATATATATATATATATATATATATATATATATATATATATATATATATATATATATATATATATATATATATATATATATATATATATATATATATATATATACTGTCTAACATAATTTTCCATCTAATTTGTTACGTATGGATATATTAGAAAGAATACAAACTAACATAGGAAAGAAGTGAGAAGTCTTTACCGATAGCATCTCCATTTCTTCATTTGTTGGACAAAATTCATTAAGATCATAAACTTGATCGACATTCACATCGGAAGAATCTAACGCAAGGATGGCATTCTGAACACAAACACAACTTATTAAATAATGCTGCAATGGGCACATGCATTTGGTTGGAGCCTCGTGTTTGAGATTTGTTTTCATTAACGTACATTAGTAGTTTTGTATTGGCAGCCGTGTGCATCTTTGAACATTTTGTCTTTGAATGTGGTTCGTTTACTAATGAAGACTGAAGTTCTCATGTTTTAATCCATGTAACTAATGTTATTTGTTTTCTTATTTACCTCATGTTTTATAAATAAAATTATTTAATTTATTTTTAAAAAGTTAACTATAGTTTTGAATTTACTAAAGGTCTCAGATTCTACTTCTACTAACTATTTTAGTTTTTTGCTTTATAATTTATCTCAAGTTTGTTTATAATAAACAAAACTGTTTATTTGTTATAGTTAATTAGTGTCTAATTAGTTGAAATGTATGATTGTTATAACTACATACTTCGACGTTCATCAATTGCATATTATGTCTTCGCAAAATTTACTAATTTAGTGGAAATATGTTTTTCAAAGCACCTATTTTTTGTTTTTGCCCAGGCCAAAAAATTGGTTGGTTGGACAAGTCCTGCAAGCATGTTGTTTGAAAGTCTTGGCAAAAACCCAACATAGATTCCATCCCCGATATTTTTGTCATTCTCGTGGCAAACTGCAAATAGATTATACATGAAAAAAAAAAGATCGGCTGTACCCAAAATACATTAAGACCGAGCCATTCTAAAATAAGGCCGGACCTAGAAAAAGACAATTTGAGAAAACACGGGACGATATGAGACCTTGCGGGACCGGTCTAAAAAGAACAGATGTTCTGAGATGGGTGCCTAAAACTACATGAGACTGGTCCCAAAAAAAAATATGTAATTCTATACATTTTTAAAAAATCCAAAAAAATGTCTCTAAATGTCATAAAAATAAATGATTCTCTACTTGTGAGTTTGCAAAAAGTTTTTTTTTTTTTAAATATCTTTTAAGTGTTCTCACTTTCATTTAAGGAAACGTTAGATTTTATAAAATATAATGTAAAATGGTTTTTCCTCCTTATTATAAGAAACGTTAAGGGGCTGTCCATATTACTAAAAAATTTACGATCCAAAAAAATGTTATGATCCAACTCTCAAGACAAAAACTTGATTTGGTTGAGACGTCATGATCTAAAAAGTTAACGCTTGTACGAGACAAAGACTTAATTCGGTTGAAATGTTATGATGTAAAAAGTTACGATCCAAAATGATGATTTGCGCCGGAATAAAATAATTTAAAATATTATATGATTCAAAATGATATAATTCATGTTGTTGTTTTGATTCAAAGTTTTATAAACATCATTTTTTATAAACCAAACTCTATATGAAAAAACCTTATTTTGTTGAAAATGATATTATACAAAAATGCTATTATACAAAAATGCTATGGTCCTTAATTATAAATTTTGAAATTCAAAATTATACAATTGCAAGAATGTTATAATCCAAAATTGTTACAAGATAAAAACTTGATTTTGTTGAAAGTGTTATGATCTAAAATGTTTTCATCCAAAATCATATGATACAAATCTAAGACAGGCCTACAGTTCAAATTTTTTTTTTTTAATGTAAAAAAATAAAAAGAATGATTAGTGGTAGTTTTTACGATATTTTAGGTTCACATCGGATCCGGACCCATGAAATGCTAACGTAGAAATCCATTACACTTGAAGAGTTGAATGTATTATAATAATTTACAAGCATATTAGCATACTAACCATAGGGAAGTGAACCTAGTTCGAAATTGAGCATGTTGTTAGGATAATGATTCACAACCTACTTTCTTAAATAAATGGGGTTGTTGTTAGCTTGAATGAAAAAAGTTTTGACTTGGCTCGATTATCGGTTTTTTGGTTCCATACCATATTTTGGCATACTCATAATTAATGAACTTACTATGATATCAGCTATAGGAAGCTTTATGTCTTGAAGCATAATTCTGCAACTACTTGCTCTGTCCGGATGAACCTGTAATCGAAATTTAAGAAAATTATCAAATTTACTTATGAATGCTTATAAATTATGTGAAAGATTTTATCACAAGAATTAAGCAATGAGATGTTTCTTTTACTTCATTATTTCATGAGAAGTAGTTAAAGTAAAGTGTGAGTCAACTAACCCAAAAAAGGTTTTCTAGTTTAGGCGTCTTGTAACCTGGCTGAGCGCTATCCTTGTATTTGGAAAACAACATATCAAGCTCACTAATATCCATTTCAGGAACCCTACAAAGTAAGAAGTTTCACCAGTTTTAAGCTAAAGCAAAATATGATACTTTTGCTTATGCCATAGATACATCCATGTTATAAGCACTAGGATCAACTTCCATCAAATAAACCCACATACCTTGATCCATGTTTATGTGACACGTCCCATAAACTTCCTACAGTTGCTCGGGTTGTTTCCCAAAGCAGGGGCTTCAAGGATCTTTGATACTCATTGTTGCTCTTTGAACTTGGAGTTGGTGGTGGTGTAAGATTCAGAGGTGCAACCTTAATAGAGGTGTAGATTTAGTTATATATAATACTTTACTTATGATACTTGGACACATAGTAGTGTAAACAAACATAATCTAGTAAAAGATCCAACCACCATCCTTTGGATCACATCCATTGTTATTTTAACAAGATATATTAGTTTTCATAAAATAATAATGAAAAAATTAGATAGATTTAGATTACTATAAAGAAATAAGTGCATAGAAAGTAAATGAGCTACGTACTTGACATTCGAGTGCAATTTCAAGTGTTGTCAGGATCTCTTTCATGGATGGACGCTCTTCACGATCTCTCCTCAGACATCGATAAGCAATTGTCACAAACGATCTCAACGAACTAGGACTTATTTCATCTTTTATATTACCAAAGATAATTCCACTTAGGTCGCTCTTTTCGTAACAATTTCTTGTCAGTTCTGCTAAAGACCGATGTTCATATTTATTAGGAGTATTCAACCTCCCACACAACATTTCGAACAACACCACGCCAAAGGAATAAATATCCGACTCCTTTGTTGGTGAGCCTGTCTCTATATATACTGGATCACAATAACCAGGTGTCCCTACAGCACCGGATATAACAGTTTTTTTTTCTTGGTTAGCAACAATAAACTTGGATAGACCAAAATCTGTGATTTTGGCATTCCAGTTTTCATCTAGTAGGATGTTGCCACTTTTAATATCGAGGTGCCATACGCTTTCTTGGTAACCATCAGGATTATGAAGGTACACCAGTCCGCTAGCTGCTCCAATGCATATTTTAAGGCGTCTAACCCATCTTAGATCATAGTTGTTTAGATAAAAGTCAAGACTTCGCTTAGCTGCGTACTCATACACGAGTATTTTCTCGTTGTCATCATCACAATATCCCAAGAGGTTGACAATATTACCATTCCTGTATTGGGAAAGGTTACGCTCGTTCTTAAACCCACGGTTTCCGTGCTCGTTTGTGGGATTTAAACGTTTTACAGCAACGGTCATGATATGACCACCAGAATGTAACAGTTCTCCCATGTAAACTTTTCCAAATCCTCCTTCCCCAATGCATTTGTTTGAAGCAAAGTAGTTGGTAGCTAACTGTATATCTCTTAGTGATATTTTGGTCCCTTCAGCATATATCTACACCACAAGCCAAGAGACGAGCTACAATAAGTTTTTTTTTTGTCCATTTATGTAATTTTCTTGTAAAGAAGTTATAAACTAAATGAATAAACGTGATTTACATGGTAGAAGCCAAACAAATAAGCTTTTGTCATAGGGAAAAATACTGATTTAAGTTAATTTTTATTAAATTTCATGTAAAATATTTTTTTAACAAAATTACAAAAATGTTTCTAGTGGATTAATGTCATTTATTTTGGACATAGTCCAAAACTTTTTGATATTGCGGATGATCCTTGTAAGCTAGTTTGGTCGTGAATTTCATGCTCTTTTAATTGTTAATTTTTAATAATTGTTATAACATTCTTTTGATATTTATTAATTTTTCTTCACTGTCATATCGGTATGTGTAAAATCAGGAATCTTTTATAATTAAGGAAATTAAGGTCTTCGAATGAGATTATAGACATAGGAATAAGCCCCCTACATTGTTACACAAAGACAATGTTTGAAGGACTCTTAAAATCCCACAAACAATCTGAAGTATCAAGGTGTTTGAGATCATGACAAGATAAAAGATTTCATGTAATGCAAGATTAGAGATTTATGTAAACATAAAAAAGAAGAAAGAGGTGCTTGATTCTTATCATAACATGTTACGTCTTGCAAGCCACATGAAGGTTGCAAAATGGAAAAGACTGCAAATGTGGGATATAGGATGACGTGTCTCTGAGGATACTTTCATTTCTATCTTCATCCTCCCAAAATTGAACACCATTTTTGTTGTTTAGGAGTTGCAAAAAAAAAAAGTAACATAAATAAATAAATAAAAATCAGATCTACAACAAGAATAAAGCTAAATTTGGATTTGGAAGGATATAAAACCTGCATCTTCATCTATCTACAAAAATCAATTGATTTTGTTATTTTTTTCGTTGTTCAAAATGAAACCTTACCATTTAAATCCAATTTTAAAATCAAGAGGACACAAAATGAAACCTGACCATTTTCAGAATACATAAGAGGGCCGAGAATGGAAGGCGCTGATTGTAAGGGTAAAAGCATCACCAATCCTACGTCAAACTCCAATTTTACTCTATTGTAGATATTAAACATGCTCGATCCAACTCCATTAATTTGGAACAAAATGACTCTAGATATTTAGTTATACTATTCATTTCTCCAAAATGGAATTGAACTTTTTTACTTATCAGTTTTAGTCCCTGGTATCTTAGGTTTATCAAATTCTACTTTGTTTTATTTGACTAAGTATAATTTAAATGATATTTATTAATCATCATTATAAAATTTAATATTTATGTATCAAATATATATATATATATATATATATATATATATATATAATAAGATTTTGGATTTTATTTTGTACTAGGTTTTATGATTGGGCATTTTAGCTAGGAAATACTAATTAGCTATTCTATATATTATGACTTTCCCTTTTCATTGTATTTGTAATTCTCTTTGATAATAATATAAAATACTAGTCGTTATATGTCTTTCACTTGTTAGTTTTCATAGATAAGAGTTCGGTTGATCACTGTATTTTCGTTTTGGGGGCGAGTTGTATCAGGTATACACTATTCATCAAAGTTACTATTTATCAACACTATTCACGTATTGTTTGCAATTTTGGGTATGGTTTTCTTACTAGTTTTTGTATTTATTTTGATTTGATTCATTTGTTTATACGACTTCGAGGGTTTTGTTTTGTTTGTTGGTCTTGTTGATATTAGTTGTCGTTGATGCTATTTGTATTTATTGTTTTTTTGGTTATTTTCGTTTGACTGATATTGGAAATATGGCCCCAAGAGATGATTCTCTTCAGTCTATTACTATCCAACTTGATGGAAGAACTATGCTTATTGGAGTTATGTTATAAATAATTTCTTGCGAGACAAGACTGTGTGGGGGTTGTTAAAGGTGACAAGAAGAAACCAACAGACGAGAAGGCTATGAATTATGCAACTTTACTAGATTAATGGGAGACTGATAACTCCAAGATTATTACTTGGATTAATAATTTTTTTATCTAGTCTATCGGTGCTTAGTTGGCGAAGTATGACATAGCAAAGGAGGTTTGGGATCACTTAGATTTTGATATTTGAGCCCTCCAACAGAACAATCTCAATATTCATGAATTTTATGCAGTTATGTCGGATTGGTGGGATCAGTTGGCTCTTACAGAACCTGATGTGTTGAAGGATTTTATGCCTTATATTGATAGAAGAGAAGAGCAACGCTTGGTTCAATTCTTGATAGCATTACATTCAGATTTTGAAGGCCTGTGTGGATCAATTTTACATCGCACACCTCTTCCCACTGTTGATTCGGTTGTTCATGAGTTGAATGATGAAGCAACTCGTATCAAGTCCCATGCTGAAAAATATCCTAAGAGAGCCACTTCTGCTATCTTTTCCGTTCCACAACGACCTTGGTCTTCAAACCAAAATCGTCTCAAAGTTGCATTTGATGAGTTTGCTTTCTGTAAGAAAAAGAACCATTGGAAGGCAATTGTTCTTTACTGACAAGCAAGAGAAATCAGTAACAACATCAAATGAGATCATCTGCATAGTCTCAGCCTTCATAGCAGAACATGTCTTTTGGATAATTAAATCTCTCATTTGCATCTTTTAGACCACCACATTATGCTGCTGCTATACCTTCAGTTGAGAATGAAACATATTTTACACCACCATCAAGCTTGGATCTGCAAATTGTTGAGCAGTTCAAATAGTTCATTATTGCCAATCCAATTACCATGTCACCTTTTATGTCTCATTCAGGTTTGTCTTCATCCAACACGTCATGTATTCATTCATCCTTGTGGATATTGGATTTTGGTGCATCTCATCACACGTCACCACATTTGTTATCTTTTGCTTCATTATCTTCCCATACACCTGTCTCTTTTATGTCTGCTAGTGCTATACCTATGTCTGTAGAGGGTGTTGGTTCTATTGACACTCCTTATATATCTTTAAAAGATATGTTTTTACATTCCCATATTTGCTTTGAATCTTGCATCGATTAGTCAGTTGTGTAAATCTGGTTGATGGGTCTTCTTTTCTGATTCATTATGTTGTGTACTCGACATTCGGTCAAGGAGGGTGATTGGGATAGGCCATATAGTTGGGAATCTATATGTTTTGGAGTAGCTACATGTTGTTGATGTTCCTACATCTAGTGTCGATTTGTCATCTTTTCGTTTAAACCCATCATCGTCTGTTTTTTATATTTTGCATTCTCATTTGGGAAATGTGTCAGCATCTCATTTACAATTTTTGGTTTCCACTGGTGTGTTAGGCTCTTTGAAAGCTGATGATATTTCTGATTTTTGTGGTTGTAAACTGGGAAAATTTTATTCTTTACCGTTTAATAACAATGTCACTCGTTTTGTTGCTCCATTGATATCATGCATTCTGATGTGTGTGGTACATCTTCGATCACCTCTAAATCGGGAGCTAAATATTATGTTTCATTTATTGATGTTTACACTCATGTACGTGGCATCAGATCTCCTGTCAAGACTCAAAACTCTGTTGTTATAAAATGTTTTTGGTATGACTTGGGAGGAGAATTTACCTTCAATCATTTTAAACTATTACTAGCATCTTATGGCACTGTACATCAATCATCTTGTACAAACACTCCTCAGGAGAATGGCATTGTAGAAAGAAAACATCGACATCTCCTAGAAACTGCAAGATCCTTACTACTTTTTGCTCAAGTTCCCATTATCTTTTGGGGAGATGTTGTTCAAACCGCCACTTATGTTATTAATCTCACTCCTACTGTGAGCACTCTAGGAAAGTCTCATTATGAAATTTTGTTAGAACAACTTCCAGATTATTCTTCATTACTAGTGTTTGGGTGTACATTTTTTGTCTTGAAGATTCAGGTCGAGAGAGAAAAGTTTTCTTCAAAATTAGCTCTTTTTTTTTTCTAGGATATGGTATTGGTCCGAAAATTTATAGGTGCTATGATCCATCAAATCAGAAATCCTATGTCTCTTGCAATGTCACTTTTTTGGAGCATATTCCATTGTTTAGCATTCTTGTTCAATCACATGATGTAACCTGAGAGGAGCTTCGTGTTATTGATCCTTTTATCATTGACATTGATGATCCACCACATGTCACTGATCCACCACCAACTACTGATCCATCACCTATCACTAATCCTTTACTTATACATCATCAAGACCCCGCTCCATCGAGACCTTATCGTAATAATAAGTCCACAAAGAGGTCATTTCTGATCCCCTTTGGCAAACCACTATGGATGAGGAACTTGCAACTCTTTATCAGACTCATATATGAGATCTAGTTCTGCTTCCGCCTGGAAAAGCACACGATTAGTTGTCATTGGATATATAAAATCAAAACAAAGTATGATGCAACCGTTGAGCGTTAAAAAGCTAGACTTCTCGTGCAAGGTTATGCACAAAAGTATGGTATAGATTATGACGAGATGTTTGCTCTTGTTGTAAAAATGACGATTGTTCACACCTTGATTGTAGTTTCTTCCATTATCCAATGGAAGATTTATCAGATGGATTTCAAGAATGTGTTCTTGAATGGTGATCTTCATGAGGAAGTATACATGTCTCCTCCCTCTGGTATTTCTCACCAACCAGGTGAAGTTTGTCGACTTCGGAAGACATTATATGGCCTCAAACAATCCCCTCAAGCTTGGTTTGAGAAATTTTCTATGCACTTCACTTGTTTTTCAACCAAGTAACCATGATTTGGCTCTATTTGTTTGATATATAAATATAGGTCAAATTATTCTTTCCTTATATGTCGATGACATGATTATTACTGGTGATGATCATGATGGTATAGATTCTTTAAAGCATGATTTGGCTCACCTTTTTGCTATGAAAGACTTAGGTTTGTTACGTTATTTCTTGGGGATTGAAGTTGCTCAATCTCCAAAGGGTTATCTTTTATCTCAAAAGAAGTATATTTCAGATTTGTTTGAACGTGCACGACTCA